CCTAACAAAACATTACCAAAAAAATGCACAGACTTTAAGGACAAGAAATGCATGTTCTGGGAATTCCCATTCTCTTTTTCCCTGCTCTTTAGTAGGTTGGATTGCTGTGAAAATGCATTGTTGGGAGCCAACAGGACACTAATAATTACGTGTCATTGTTCTGTGAAGGTGAGATGACGATATTTGCTGAACCACTACAATAGCTTCTTTGAGATAATGGTGCTTGAGGCCTTTGCCCTTGCATTTGTTCTTTCAGGACTTGCCTCTGCAGACTCATTTCTTGGTGGTAACAGATTTATTCCCTCATTAATTCTCTGTCCTCTTGCCTAAATCAAAAATACTTTCTCCTTTCTGCAAGTAAACATTTTAGCAGAATGCTCCTCTGCAGGTCAAAAAAGAGAACTTTTCTTGTTTTCCCATTTCCTTCCCCAGAGATGGCACTTGTGATGCCAGATGCCCAGCACCTCTCCTGCCCTGTAATGAATTTGGTGCAGTAGTGGCCGGTAGCCAGTGGGCTAACTAATCAGCCTGTGCACTAAAGTACACTCTCCAGCTACAGGATTCCAGTCCTCCTTTCTTCAGCGGTTCTATTTTATTTCTTCAAAATAACACAAGTTCTGTATACCAAACTATCCTTTCCTCCCCTTGACTCAGGTTCCTCCAGAAGATTTTATTTACTCCCCCTGCAGGATCACACTCCACAGGCCCTCTGTCTGGGAGTTAAGGCAAGTCTCCCTGCTTCTGCCTGAGAGTCATACATAAACCCGTTTCTTTCCCCTGACCTAGGGACTCCTGCAAGAGCCTACCCACTCTGTGTAGCTTTCTGGTTCAACTGAGCTACTTGTAGTTTTTTTGTGAGGACCAAGTGATCAAGTTTTCACCTCATCTGTAGCCTCACAGCATCAGCTGTGAGGCAGCTGATTTATCACAGGGGGGCTGGATCTAACTCTCTTTAAGTAGCCAGCTAGCCTACGACATTATCACTGAAATGAGAAAGTTAGCACATTAAGTAGTGGCACATCCAATCCTCAAAATAGCAAGAAATATGATAGTGTTGGTTTCAAATTCCAATTTCTTCTTACAAAGCACTTTGTTTTGGTGATTCTAAGGGTACGTCTATACTTACCTCAGGGTCCGGCAGTAAGCAATCGATCTTCTGGGATCGATCCCGGAAGTGCTCGCCGTCGACGCCGGTACTCCTGCTCCGCGAGAGGAGTATGCGGAGTCGACGGGGGAGCCTGCCTGCCGCGTCTGGACCCGCGGTAAGTTCGAACTAAGGTACTTCGACTTCAGCTACGTTATTAACGTAGCTGAAGTTGCGTATCTTAGTTCGAAGTGGGGGGTTAGTGTGGACCAGGCCTAAATTGTAAAGACACAAGACAACACCCGTCCCAAAAAGAAAGTAGGAAACAAAGTTTGGGCTGGGGGACAAATGGTGGAGTGTCGTTCAAGAAGACTAACAAAGATTACTTATTGCAGACAAACAGGAGCCTTGACAGACCCTGAGGGCCCACTAAGGGAAAGGAAGGCCCTGTTCAATAAAGTTTTAGGCAAAAGTGATAAGTTTGCTTATTCTCAGTCATGGATGATAGCTGAGAACACACTGTGACGCTAGAGAGGCATAGAATCATAGATTATTAGGGTTGGAAGGGACCTCAGGAGATCATCTAGTCCAACCCCCTGCTCAAAGCAGGATCAATCCCCAACTAAATCCCCAAATGGCCCCCTCAAGGATTGAACTCACAACCCTGGGTTTAGCAGGCCAATGCTCAAACCACTGAGCTATCCGTCCCCCCAATAGTGAACATCTATGGGAATACCTGGAAATTAACGTTTCCACCAAATTTGATTGCCAAGCTAGAGCATTTAGAGATTATTCCAGAGCAAATTATGGCTCATATAAACTCTCTCTGCTAAATTGAACATTCTGGTTGGCAGCCAGGGAGTTGGACAAAGCATTATACCTTGCATTTTACCTGTGGGTGATAGAGAGCAGTTTGCTATCAAATAATAAGTCTGCCTGTATTTCATATAGAGCTGGTAGAATTATTTTTCATGAACAACGTAGAAACTTTTTGCAAATACCTTTCCCTGAAATTTCAAGTTCTCAAAAAATTTCAGTTACTCAGTAAGCTTGTCAAAAATAGAAAAAATAAAATAAAAAGGTTTTGATGGAATTTCAAAAATTCTCAACCAGCTTTAGTTGCATGCCAGTTTAGTTTCATTAAATAAAAAAGGCAGAATGAAATGTGACTGCCCCTGGATAATAGAAGATTGCTAAATAGGTCCCCTAGCCCAGCATGTGTATGAGCAGATACGATGTAATGTACATGCTGTCCAACGTGCAGCTTATTGCAATAAAATTCTCTTGGTTTGACATTGTCCATATTTCAGTGCACAGTGGCTAGATGCAAAGTATGGAAAACAAATAAAATAAAAAGTCAAGCAGAAAAGGTACTCTTGGGAATAATGTTGTGTTGGGAGGGAGATGGAGGTGATAACAAGCCTTCTCTATCTTCTGTGGAACCTCAGATTAAAAAATTTAATATTCTCTCTCAAATGCAGCCTTAAAAATAAATCAAGCATTATTAGTAACGGCTTTTCTTAAGTCCTCAGATGGTCACAAAACGAGATCAAACTAGCTAGAGACATAAAAGGTAGCAAGAAAACATTCTACAAATACATTAGAAGCAAGAGGAAGACCATGGACAGGGTAGGCCCGTTACTCACTGAGGTGGGGAAAACAACAGAAAATGTGGAAATGGCGGAGGTGCTTAATGACTTCTATATAAGATGTAGTAATTTAATGTGAGGAATTCTAAGAGTGTTAGTTCATCCCAATTTGCAGCAGTTGTGTCAGATAAGAGATATGGGATTTCACTGATGCAACCCAGGTCTATGGAATAAGGAATACCTGAAGTCGTTGCAGACCGGGGTACCTCTTTGGTACCTTCTGTCCCCTTCATACTGTGGAAGTGTAGGGGATTCAGCAGAGCAAGGTGAATCCTTGGGGTAGGCAGTGGAGAGTCTACCCTGAGTTATGAGCTCTATGATAGATGTAAACACCGCGATGGACTCTCCTGAAATGCCTTGTATGAGATAGGGCAGATAGTGCCGCTCTCCAGTGTTAAATTTTCATATAAGTTGTGGCATGTCATTTAAAATCCGTCCCTGTGTCTGTCCTCATTCCCTTGGATGTCCTGAGGAATGAGGAACTCTCTCTCTGGGGTTCTGACCTCACCTGAACTCAAAGCTGTTTCTTAAAAACAACTTGTTCACAGCAGTATTGTTATAAATGTCTTAATTTAAACTGTCAGAACTCGTAGTATTGAAAATGAATGTTTGTACATCCACATTTCTTAAAAACTACATACCACTTACAATTAATTCAAATGGCCTGCATCACGTCAAGCATTTTTCTTCATTAAGGCACATCTGAAAGAGACTCATTATTAAGTAAAAACCCTTTTGTTCTTTCTCTGTAAGTAGATTTAATCAAAACTATGCTTTGTAACTTTAGCTACAGCAAAAGATTTCAGAGTCAGGAATAGGAATAACCGAAGTACCAGTGCGCTGCCATTCCTGCCATAGTCACTGAAAGCATATTCCTCCCTAAATAGAAGAGTCCAAATAGAGCAATGAGGGGTAGAAATAGATTCACTTTTATTCCAGAGGGCAATTGGATGCTCCTTAGCAGGACAGTAGAAGAATTATTTTTAAATGTTTCCTTTTGATTTAAACAGGTGGCATGATCATGTTATGTGGCGTTCATGTGCAGTTGATTAATTCATGGCTACCAATTTAAAAATATTAAATTTCCTACAAGTATTATGGACAAAGTGTGAAGCTCATCTCTGATGTCTGAATTAAGTTGCATTTTTTTAGAAGGAGCAATACCCATCAACCTCCACTTCCCCAAATTGTACTTTCAACACGTTAGTTTTAATTCTTTATAGGAGTCTCAAGGTGGGATATTTTTATTTGCTGTATTTACAATAGTGGATTTCCAAAGTTTGCATTCTTCTTTTAAAAACAACTTGCTGTACTAATATAGGGACTGCATAGAGTGAAGTCAGTGGCAAAACTCCCATTACTTTCAATGGTGAACAATTGGGTCCTATTATCTGAATACTCTTAAAGAAGTGTTTTCATTGTCCTCATAGTTTTGCACTTCTACAGCACCTTCCATCACTGGAACTCAAAACACTTCACAAATATTAGTGAATTAAGCCTCACCTCAGCCCTTAGGTAAGTACTGTCTGTTTCCTTTTGCAGTTGTGAAAACTGAGACACAGAGAGAGAAATTTGCCCAAGGTCACATCAAAGGCTGTGGCAGAGATGGGATAGAGGCTAGGGTTGAAATTCTGGCTCCCTGGAAGTAAATTGCTAAACTCGGTCCCAGATCTTCTGGCTGACAGTGGTGTTCTTTAACTATAAGACCATGTTCCATAAAGTGGGGGGGGGGAGGGAAGCATGTATATGAAAACAAAACTAATTAGCCAATGGTTCCTCGGTGTACCCTTTTCTAATCTTATAGGTGTTTATGTTTGAATTAGAGCTCTTCCCACCCTCAACTCAAATTAATTTTCTGCTTGATTCTGCAGTGAAATTATAAATACCATGTTTTATATTGTGGTGTGGATATAACTGGTGCCCCAGATTTAGCATTATTACTTCACTGTATCTGACGAAGATGTTGTATAGGGAGAATATCCTTCTTCTAATCCAAATTTCACTGATGGCTTGCATAGGTGGCAAGGAAAATTATGAAAATACTTGAAAGGTTAAAAAGTTTATGTTTACATGTGACAGATGGGAAATAACAGTAATAACATTTGGTCTGGTCCTGCAGTCCTTGTAGTAAATAGATGTTTTCCCTAAATAAGGACTACAGGATTGGACCCAAATCATATCTTGGTTTTTAAATAGGCAAGATTTCATTTCTAATGTTTGTCACATGCAGAAGCATTAGATTATTTTTTTTCCTTCTGTTTATGAAGCCTCTGCCTCCTTGCCATGACTCTACGGAATCTATGGAGGTGTTCAAACAGCACTGCCAAATAGCAGAAGAATATCATGAGGTCAAAAAGGAAATTGCACTGCTGGAAGAAAGAAAGTAAGTAACTTTTCTCCAAAGAAACCTCAGTATTTACTTATACGTTCAAAGGAAAAGAAGTGTAATTTGCATGAAGAAAAACTTTCATAATTATTTTAAAATTACTACAGAACCATTCACATGGAATATGATTTCTAGGTTAGTGAAGGAAAAGTGGAAAATGCTGCCAGAAGTAGGTATTAAAGAAAAATGGTATTTTTGTTTGAGTAAAGAGACTAAAAGAGTAAAAGTTTGAGTAAGGAAGCTAACATTCAAGATCTTGATCTATAGAAATCCTTCGTAATCTAAGCCAGAAGGTCTTTGTGACCCTATTCCCCTGCCTGGGACAACTGCAATTGGACAGAGCAGGCCGTCTCTCTGTCCTAAGGTTCGGCCATGACCAGGACGAGAGCAGAACTTTAACTGTTCAGGGCTCTCAATTATGCAACTGTCCACTGAAGGACATCCACCAGAATCCCTTTATTGGCTGCTTTTAGGACACTGTATGGCCTTATTCACACATACTTGCACCAGTCTAAACTAGTGCAATCCCCTGCATAGACACCCTTATTTCAGTTTTAAGAATGATTTAGTTCTGTATAGCTTAAATTTGTTTTTAATTAACTTTAGTTAAATCTGTGCAAAAACAGTGTGGACCCTCTGATTTGTAGTTTAATTTAAGGTGTGATTTTAAACTATTGCAACCTTGCATGTAGACAAGCCTTCTGGAAGACCCATTTATTATGGCATATCTACCTTTGACCATTTTTTCGGTCCCTCTCTGTCCAGTTGTTTTGTGTTTCATTTCTTGACTACTCCTTTTCTTTTTCTGTTTTCCTTTTGCCTGGCAGGGTGGTTTGCCTGAGTTACATTAAGTTTATTCTCTTGCCTGACCTTTCTGATCCATTTGATGGTTTATTCTCACTGGCTCCATCCCTTTTATAGTAATGGTTTGCATTGACTTTATGGCATGGTGCTCAGTTGTTGTTCACCACAATTATATAAACAGATTAAACCAAATTTTTTGACGCTAATTGGATTCTTCCAGGGTGTAGTTAATGTTAAATCAAATGCCAGACATTGACAACCAGAATGATTCGACATTTTCAGTGAAGAGCAAAAGAGTGAGAATAATTCAGTTGAAAATAATACTCTAAGTAGATCCTTAATCTACTGTACTTTCCGTTTCTGTTGTATGATATTTGGATTTTATTTTAACAAAAGGCCAGCCATCCCACAGAAAAAGCCCTTTTTGTTGTAGCTGTGTTTCACCAAGCCTTGGATTGGGGTGGAGTCAGAGGTAAAAAGCTAATTCAAGAGATACATCCTTCTTTAACAAACAATTAATTCTGATGCTATGGGACTTTGGATTTTCCTCAGGGCAACAAAAGCATAATTTTCTGCCTCAATTACCCCAACTCAGGAGATTCCTTTTGAAGTCATGTAAGAAGGTGAGATGATCAGAGACCCAACTGTAAAAAAAATGTTAAGATTTTAAGCCCCAGACCTGCAAGTGGGTCCAGATGAGTGAACACCTGCCCTTCTTGCAGAATCCCCTGTAAGGATGCAGGTATCTGCCATCAGAGGGCAATCATAGGACTGGGGCCTCAGTTATTACCTGAACAAACTTCCTACTAGCAGGGATTTTTCTACTAATTCCAATGATTTTTGCAGCAATTTCTTATTTTTTTCCTCCTGCATTAAGCCATACAGGTATTTTATTGTCTGACAGATATGATTGCTAGCTGAGGCCAGCTGAGAGAGCTATGATATTAAGGATACATTCCAGAATGTGGTCCTTTATGTACTGTTAGAGGCCATAGTTTGATCTTTAAGAATTGTTTTCAGAACAAATGATAATTTCTGTTTTGAGACAAATTGGTTTTTGTGCATAGGTCAGGTAGGGACTGTTTGGCATTAGTAGTTGGTCAGGATGTACCACCAATGTCAGTATATTGAAAGTATATGTAGGGTAGGAAAAGCCATATTCTTTGTATCTGCCATCAAAGGGCAATCATAATGGGCAGAATTCAAATGAAGTCAGAGCTGTGCCCATTTACAGCAGATGTCCCAACTTTACTACAAAATATTATCAAATTTTAACCTTCCTTTTGTGGAAATGTGGATTCATAATAGTGTAATATGCCAGGTAAATATAATCCTTGCTTGTAAATATTGAATACAGTAAACTGATAAATACACACATGATTTCTCCCTTTTATTTTAAACAAATAGTAACTTGTGCAATATTCTTCTTCCACTCAGTTCACATTTTTACTGAGGCCAAGAGATCTTATGTTAGATGGCTACCCTGCCAGCATTCTTAACTTCCTCTCCACAGATTAGTTTATCTGTGGAATGCAAAGGTCAAACACTACCTGGCAACACATACTGCCAGGAAGCCTGATGATACAAAACTCTGTGTTCAAAGTATTGAACAAGATGATAGTCTGCTCTAAACAGAATACTCCACATTGTTACTTCTAAAAAAATATTTGCAGACCAGTAAAGATCACATGGTAAATTAGCGCTATTGCACAGATCAGAATTTATCAAGGAGGGAACTTAATCATATCATAATGATATCAAAACAATCATAAGCATAAATAGATGTCAGTGCCACAAGCACATTTGAATAACTACAGCTGAAAAGGATTATTTTATAAAATGCTTTCTTTATAACTTTGTTTACATACCAAAGTGACAGATGCCTTAGAAATATGGTAGATAAATAATGTGTAATTTGTCTCTCTTGCCTTCTCTTCTTTCCAGGGACCTAGAGCAAATGCAGGGCAGTTAACAATCTTGGTTTGCACTTTTGTCCTGCATGCTAGCCCACCAGCCAGTGCTAAGAAGTTAGCACCAGCTGGCGTGTCTCTTTTGGCCTCCTGTTGCTTAGGGGCCCTCTCCTGGCTGCCTTCTCTTCCTGCCCTCAGACCCTCTTCCTTTGCAATGTGCTTTTCGCTACAGAATGCAGGGGAGGCAGGAGCACAAAGCTATAAAGGGAGGTGGTGAATTGGACTAACACTGACTGCTGCACTCCACAGCAGGAGTCTTTTTGCCCCGTTTTCTTTGTGGGAGAGGCAGATAGTAAGAGCACAATCCATGGTAGGTGTGGGAGCAATGAACGCAGTTACCTCATGAGGAAGAGGGAGTGAGAGAGAGGGATAGGATGAGGGGATCAAAAAATGAGAATTATAGGGTAGAACAAAGGGCAAGACTGGTGGGAGAACATGCTGTAAATGGGCACAGCTCTGACTTCATTTGAATTCTGCCCATTTACACCAGCAGAGAATTTGTTCTGATATGTTGGGCAAGGGACAAACTCAACCTGAAATGGAAGAAGAGATAGAAAAGGAAGAAAGGGGTGTGGAGGCAAGAATACACCACACTTAGATCAGTGAATGTAATTTAATTTATGTTCCTGTAACTTCTTATATTTCCATGACAGATGTGTTAGATCTCTAATTTTGGGTGAAAGGGATAGGATGGCTGGTTATTTTGGGCACTTATTACATTACTATTACTAGCTAATGACCCTGGATTATGCAGTTAAATATTAGAGTTGTCTTGGTTGCTAGCTATATTTTGTATTATTAGCTCTGGCCACTTTTATCTTTTTCCTCCCCCCAAACAATTCTAACACATGCCTGGAGTAAATGTGGTCTAGGATTGTCCCTTTTCTGTGCCATGGATACCTTTTCACTTCCTTTCTTCTATGTGTATTGTAGTAGACCCCTAGTTGAGGGTATGCTTATGCCCTGATTTACACGTTAGTTCACTCTCTCTTTTTCTACCACCTCACCCCCGTCCCCACCAAAAAAAAGAAAAAAAATCAGAAAGGCTGCCTGCTTACACAAACCTTTTATGTGGTATAAACATTCAGGTGAACTGGAGATGGGGGATTTCCATGCTTTTATTAGTGTTCATCCTCATCGCTGGATACTGCTAAACCACCCTTGACATAGATGATTACTGGCACATTAAGAGAGTTCAGAGAAGCAACACTTAGCAACTATTTTCAAAAACAGTTTGCCCGGGGAACATAGGAATTCCCATATTGGATCAGTTTAGTAGTCCATGTAATCGATTTTTCTGGCTCCAGTAATGGCCAGTACCAGCTACTTCAGAGGAAGAAACTCTGCAAGGACATATTTATGGGATAATCTGTCCTTAGGGAAAGTTTCCTTCTAATTTCCCATAGTTAGAGGAAGGTGTATGTGCCAAAGCATCTGGGTTTATATCCCTCCCACAAACCTTGATTATTTTTTTAAAAAATTGCTGTTATAAGTTCTGGATATTCTTAGTAGCCATGTGAGGCTTAGCCATTGCCTACTCTGCAATAAAACACCTGCACCTGGCCCGTGTCAGCTGACTCAGGGTTGGGCTTCAGGGCTCTGAAATTGCAGTGTAGTCATTTGGGCTAGATTCCAAATTCAGGGACCCACCCCCTGATGTGGGGTCCTGGAGTTTGGACCAACCTGAACATCTACACTGCAATTTTATAGTCCTGCAGCCTGAGCCTGAGTCAGCTGACACAGGTCAGCTGCAGGTGTTATATTGCAGTGTGGACATACTCTAAATGTCTGATCCTCTTAGTCTCAGTGATGACAATGTGTTACACAGACTAACTGTGTTGTGTGGTTTTGTTTTTTTTAATCTATTTCCTTTGATTAGTTTTGCATGTCACCTTTCAATTTCATGGAACGTTTTCTTAGTCTTGTAATACAAGAGGGGGAGAATAGAAGCCCTTAAATTACCTTCTCTATGCTGTTCTTTATTTTATATGCTTTTATCATGGTCCCACTTATTCATCTCCTTTAAGATAGTCCCAAACTTTTCAATCTTTCTTCATAAGAGAGTTTCCCTGCTCCTAATCATTCCTGTCACTTATCTCTGAACCCCCTCGTACTTCAGTTTCCTTTTTAAAATCTGACCATTACTGCAGTGTTTCAGATGAGGCCACACTATTGAGTTATAGAATGGCAATTTAATTTCTATATTAATTTCCATCCTATTCC